TCCCTGCTGAGAAGGGAGCCCAGTGGAGGCTGCGAGGCTCCATCTCAGGATCCCCGGACCATGACCTCGCTGACCCCTGCTGAAGACAGATGCCCAATCCACTGAGCCACCTAGGTGCCCCATTTATTTATTTATTTATTTATTTATTTATTTATTTATAAGATTATGTTTATTTGGCAGAGACAGCGAGAGAGGGAACACAAACAAGGGGAGTGGGGGAGGGAGAAGCAGACTCCCGCTGAGCAGGGAGCCCGATGCGGGGCTCAAATCCTAGGACCCTGAGATCATGACCTGAGCTGAAGGCAGACACTTAACAACTGAGCCACCCAGGCGCCCCCCATTTATTTATTTTTTTAAAAGACTTTATTTTTGAGTAATCTCCACACCCAGCATGGGGCTTGAACTCACAACCATGAAAGTCACAGGCCCCACCTCCACCTCCCCTGGCAGAGCCAGCAGGGTGTCCCCAACACCATTATTATGAAGGGGTCCTCTCCTGAGGTCTGCCCACTGAGACTAGCCCTGGACTCGCTCTTCATTCCTTCTCCTGCTCGCCAAGCTTCTCCATACAGCTGTCACCGCGGCAGAGCCACTGTCTGGGGAGTGGGATGGGGCAGGAAACAGTTAGATGGACTCAGGGAAGGGGCAGTTTCAGCCCCAACCAGGAAGTCCCCATCCTTGACAGTGTGGACGGCGGGGTCTCTGACCTCCGCAGACTGCACAGTCTCCTAAGCCCTAATACTTCGCCTGCATCCAGACTCTCTTGCCTTTCCCGCCACCAAGACACCAAGATTGAGCTTTCAAGCCAGTGGCTTCAAGGAGAGGGGACAGGCAGAGGTCTGAGTAGCTACCCCCCCCGCCCCACCTCATAGCCAGGACTCTAGCCCCCACCTTCTGCCTAACGGTTAAGAGGCTCCCTGGCCACGATTGCTATGTCTGGGCGAAACCCAGAGAAGTGGCTCCCTAGAGTGGGTTGGGGGGGGAACCCTCCCCTGGAGGGAGCCTCCAAGGGCCAGGGTGGAATACGGGGTGGGTCTCCTCCCTCGTAGGCTCCGGCATTCCCCAGCCCTCCAGAGTCCTCTGGAGGGATCTGCTCCCTGCAGGAGAGAGCCAGCAGACAGGTCTGAGCTGGCCTGCTCCTCCGCAGACAGAACAGGTTGGGGGGGGGGGCCAGTTGGGGGGGGGGGGGGGAGTGGTGACTCTAAACCCCCTTATTGTCTCCTCCAGGGAGCCAGGGCCAGAGGGGGACTATGGCTTGGGCACACCCTGCCACAGCTGGGGGCCCAGCTCTTTGCCTCCCTTGGCCAGCCGCTGCCAACTGGGGAGCCAGGAGCCAAGAGTCTGGGCCCCCAAGTGGAGCCGGTGCCTGCCCACCCCTTCCCAGAGAGCCGTTCTCTCTACTCCCCTCCCCTGGGCTGGGCAGGTCCAGGCTAATCTGCACAGAGCCTCACGGCAAACATTGATCTGTAATAAAACCACAGTGTGTGTTCAGGAGAAGGGACTCCAGACAAAGCGAGATCCAGACAGCACCCATACACACTCACACATACATACAGATGGGGGCGCAAACACAGCCCGACCACAGGCCCACACTGAGCCACACGCACAGGCACTACCCGGTCTGCGCACCCCCTCCCTGCCCTCAACTTTGTCCTTCAAGCGCAAGTCTCCTCCGACAGCGTGTGCCCCCATAGAACTTTCTACGTAGCTCTAGAGTAGCCTTTGCACTTGGCATTATAATCATTTGCTGGCCACTCTGTCTTCCCGAGTAATCTGCAGATTCCTTAGGGGAAAGGATCTTGTCTGATGCAAGTGCCTACCCCTGTACGCAGCCTGGTGTTGAGTTAGTAGGAATAGGTAAGCTGATTCAAATAATTGTTGGACTGATACACAGAGGAAGAGATGCTCTCAGACGGGGCAGGGGGGGACACCCATGTCTAGAGACCCTTGAAGCACACAGGACAACCAGGGCCTGCTGCTCCCACCCCTAGGGCCCCACTACCTCTCAGCTTCTTCAAAGGGCCTCCCTCTTGGTTCGGTGGGAGACCACGAATCTGAGCTTCCCCTGAGGGCTGGCAGGCAAGCTAAGGGTTAATGACACCTCATTAGTATTTAATTGGAGGAAGGAAGCTGGCCTGGCACCAGACAGGTGGGCAGGCATCCCTCCGTTCCAGCACCCTGCCAGGCATGTGGGTGATTTGGCCCTGGAGACCCTCAACCCCGCCGGGGCACCGCCCCCCACTATGTGCTTTGCCAATTTCATCTCTCCACAGTACAGGCCAGCCCTCCCCATCTGTCAACAAACATCCAGAGGGAGAGGCAGACCTCTCCTTTCTGCTTCAGCAAGGCTGCGCCCCCTCCCACTGGAGGAGACACTGGGGGCTAGAAGAGGGGTGGGGTAAGGAATGGGGAAAGGAGAGATAAATTACGGAGCTGCTAAAGGATAAAGTCGGGATACAGACAAGCGACAGGGCTGGGGATGTGGAGATGTCTGCTCAATTTGACCTTAAATGAAGAGAATGCAAATGAGATGCAGACGGTATGCAGAAGACCAGGAGGATGTCAGAATTAGCATTCCGCTTGGCACCCAGGACCCCAAGGCTGTTGCCAGGACTCCTCCCCTAGCCTTCCTGGGGTAAGTGGCACTGACCACTACTTGGAGTGAGAAAAGGACCTCAAGAATGACAAGAGCTTGGTTGGGCTAGGGCTGCGGGGACCTGGGAAACTGAGCTCCACCCCAGCTTCCCCACCCCCAGCCCAACCTGCGCCCACCTCCCCCAGCTGCCACTGGAGCTTCAAGCAGGATCACTCTCCTCTCCAGGTTACTCCGGTGGCACCCTTCCTTCGCGTTGCTATGGGGACCCCTCCCCACCTCCAGGCCTGAACCAATGGGCATCACCAATTATGACCTCATGCCCCAGGCCCGGGGCTCAACTGGCTGTTTGGAAGCCTGAGCGGCCCTGTCCAAGTGCGTCACTGCTGGGAACCCCCCGACGACCCCAGCTGCGGTAGCTTGCTGAGAGCAGGTGGAGCTGGAGCTCACGAGTTGATGAATGAATGAATAAGCAAAGGAAGGAAAGAGAAGAAAAGAGGGAGGGGTCACATAGAAAGACCAAAGCTTCAGGGTTTAGCTTCTAGGGAAAGGGTGATTTGCAACTCTGCAAAGTGTGGGGCAGGACCTGGGTCACCCGCACAGGCTGCCAGGCTCTTGGGACGACGAGACAGAGTGCGGCAAAGATGACCAGTTTTCGCATCTGCTGGGGAGAGACTAGGGCGGGCCCAGCGAATTGAGAGCCCCACCCTGGGCCGTCTAGCGCCGCTGAGTTTAGGGGAGATCGGTGCCGCCCCAAAACTCATAGACCTGCCCAGCCTCCTGGAACCGCGCCCCGGAACGCGCCCGGAGGCCTTCTCATGGTTCGGGCCCAGTCGCGGAAGGCCGCCCGGCACCTTCAGCCTGCCTCGGTCCCGGGGAGCAGACCTGGCCCTCTACAGGGCGCGCCCCGGGATTGGCTGGGCTGAACGCGCAGGGCCAGGCATGAGAAAAGGGCGGGCGGGCGGGTCGTCAAAGTCCAGCCGCCCAGGCGTCCGCGCAGACACCTGCCGGGAGCGGGCGGCCGGCGAGGGCCCCCTCCGAGTGCCCGTCCCCGCCTGCTCCGCACACTGGGCAGCGACGACCGGCTGGGGGGCCGAGGGGGGTGTGGGGCCGCTGGCCGCGGGGTGACACCTGCACGGTCGTCAGTGGAGGGCAGGGGCTAGTCGCCCGTCGCCCCCGCGCGCCCCGCCGACGGCTGGGGGAGGGGAACGGTGCGGAAGCCTGCAGGGCCCCGTTTCCACGGCGACAGACCGACCCCCCTCCTGGGTGTCGGGAGAGACGCGACTCGAACCCAGGTCCTGAAGCCGGGCCGGAGCTCCTCCTCCAGCACCGACGCCCCCGCCCGTGCTCTAAGCAGCGGGGGTGGGGGCTCAGGGCGATGCCGAGGGCGCAGACGAGCCCAGCGGCAGGCACGTGCCCCTCCAGACGTGGCGTTCCCGGGACGCGGCCTCGAATGGGGGGAGGGGGCGACGGGCGTCTGCCCCGCCCGCGGCGCCGCCCTCCAGCCCTCCGGCGAGCGGGGTCGGAGCGGGGTGTGAAGGGCTGGGGGAGGGGCCCGCGACGCCCGGAGTTCCGGCGTCTGTCAGTCTCCCGCCCCCCGCCCCCCCCCCGGCGCCCCCCGCCCCTGCCCGCCCCCCGCGTGTTCACACGCCGCCTCTCGCTGCCGCAGCCTGGCCGAGCTAATCACAACATCCACCTATCGATCGCTGGCCCGGTGCCAGGCGGGCCGGCTCGGAGCCAGGGGAGGCTGCGGGGCACCGGGGCGGGCGGAGCCCAGCTGCGGGGGAAGGGGCACCCCCTCGCCCTGGCTCCACCCAGGACACCGTTCGGAAAGAGGGCTCCGGTTGGGCTTGGGGTGGGGGGGATCAGAGGCTCGCCTGCCAGAGGTGGGAGAGAGTGTGGGGCTGAGAGCGCAGGGGGCCCTCCCTTCTCGGCCCCACCCCCTCCTCCTTATAAAAGCGGAGAACAAAGAAGCCGCTGGGGAAGGAGGCTTTGATCTGACCCCACCTTCCCAGTTCTAGGCCAGGCGTGGCCCAGACTGCCCTTGGGGAGGGAGAGGGATGCCCAGCTCAGGGACCCGGGCATTCTGAAACTCGCGTGCCCTCTCTCTAGAAGCCCCAGCTTTTGCCCCAGCGCCCTGCTTGGTGCTACGGGGCTTGGGCCGTGCCCCAAGTGGGTGGGCTGGCAGGAGCCTGTGCCCCCCTGGCAGCAGAGGAGGCCGGCTAGGGAGGTGGGAGAGGGTCCAAGCGCCACAGCTGCCGCTGGCACCTACCTCACAGTGCCCAGAGGGTCGCCCCCGGCGGCCTGGAGTGGAAGACGGCCTGCGTGCAGCTGGCACGGAGGGCCGGCCAGTGAAGCCAGAGCAGAGGCCGCAGGGAGTCCTCGTGTCAAGGAAGGAGCCCGGGGGGGGGGGGGGGTACAGCAACCGTCGGGTGGTTTATTGAGGGTTCGGTCCAGACACTTATAAAAATACAAATTGGCATGATATTCAACCTCATAGCAAGTCCGTCTTCATAGAAGACAAGTGAGTGACCGCCTGGGGAGGGGAGAACGCTGCCCCAGGGAAGAGGCCCCCAGGGTGCTGGGCACAGCCAGCAGGCGGGCCGGCCAGGACCTCCTCCTTGCCCTGGTCTAGCAGTCCACCTGTCCCCAGGTCTGCGGTCTTGGCCCCAAAAGACTCAAGGATTCAGCCCCACCAAATCCCAGCCTTTCTGGGGGGACAGGATGAGAACGTCAAAGCAGCTGACGGAGACCCCGCGTTTGTCCTGCCTGGGCTCCAGGGCGTCTGGGGCCGTGTGCAGCACCCCTGCGGCAACTCCTCAGCCTGTGGGAAGGGGCCAGCCCCTGGAAGGGACACCACAGACCCTCCGACCTCCCTATCACTCTTCCAGTGGTCTGGCTGGTGTGATGTTCCAGCGGCAGGGGTGTAGCAGGAGGGGTCTGCTTGGCTCAGAGAACTCGCAGGAGACGCAGAATCGGAAGCAGCAACAGCAGCAAGAGACAGAGGGGGCTGAGAGCGCCTCCTCCTTGCCACCCTGAGGTGCCGCTCTCTCCAGGGCTTCCGACAGGGTGGGCGGACTCCGACTCTGTGAGGGAGGGGCAGTGCTGAGGGACCCCCGCCTCAGCAGCCCCTTTGGGCCCTGCCCTGGACTCTTCACGCCCGGACCGGTTCGGCGGAAGCCCTGAAGGATACTGCGCTGGAGATGCCCTTCCCTTGGCCCAGCATACAGGGCTGGAGTGGAAGCTCCCAGACAGATACAGGGGGAGCAGAGGCCATAGCTAAAGGCTCCTCTTGGACCCCTCAGGGTCTGATGCTCCTAGTCTCTCCCAGCGGCCTCCCTCACTCCAAGGGCCCCACACACGCCCGAAGGGCTGCTCCCCACACCCCAAGCCACTTACTGCTCTCCCTGCAGCAGACGGACACCTGGAGCCTCAAGCACTTGCCAGAACTGTCCGGAGCCGGAACCGCTGGGTGGTGGGGGGCAGGGAGGAAGAAGTCAGCACTGGCTGCTTTCCTTGCCGCAGACCCCTCCGGACTCCTCCAATTCCTCTTCTCTGCTTTCCTGGAAAGCCTCCCCTTCCTTTTGGGCCACACTCTGGTGCCAGGCCTCGGCCGTGCCCCACATCATGTCCCCTTGCTCCTCTTGCTATCTCCTCCTCTCTGCACACTCCCCCAGATGGCCCCCTACTCAGTATTACACTTGGGTCTCCCCACCTTCCCTCCCAGGCCCCTCCTTTCCCCCAACCTCAGGCTCTTGGCCTGGACCTGCGGCAGGGGTAGGACACCCCCCTCCTCCCCCGCCGCCCCCCAGACAGCCGGGGAGCCCCCCTCACTCACAGATGTAATAGTAGGTTTCTCCGGGCAGGAACTCGAAGCCAAGGGAGAAGGGTGTAAAGCGCTGAATCTTCTCAGAGAACCGAACGGGGCCGAAGGGAGCAAAGGGGAGGGCGCACTCCCAGCGCTTGAAGGCGCCAGGGCCCTGGGCCTGGCAGGCCTCATAGCCTGGGCGGTCCACCATGTATAAAGCAAAGGTCTCGGGGCCGTCAGGGGGCCCTGGCCCCTCGTAGTGCGGGCAGAAGATGTCTAGGTAATCGTTGAGGTCCAGCTCCACCACGGCGTCTCCTCCAAGAAGCCTGCGGGCAGAAGGCCAGCGTGGGCCGAAGGCACGTGGTGCCGATCTCCAGGGCCGTGAGGGTCCCAGGGGCCCGGGCTGGCCTCTTCCCCAGCCACTGGGGAGGGAGCAGCTTGGCAAGGCCCAAGTCTCTCGGCCTGACAGCTCCGAAGAGACAGAGTCAGGAAATGGGTGGGAGAGGGGAAGGGGGCCGAACTGACAGCAGGGCCCATGACCGCGCGGCTCAAGTCTGAGCCGGCCACTCCGCGCGCCTAAGCGCAGGCTGGAGCTGCGACCCTTGCTCCAGCCCTGGGCCTGACGCAGGGCCTGGCCCAGCCCCGTGGACTCGGTGAATGTCAGATGTGTGGCTGCTGGGAAGACGCTGGGGCACAGAGGTGAAGGGTACATATCTGGGCCCGCAGCGCAGTCACGGCCGCAGAGATGGCCGCCAGCAACAGAATCCGTGTCAGACAGGCCGAGAGAGGAAGACTGCCTTCCGGATCTCAGTGCGATACGGAGAAGGCCACGGTAGGAAGGAAGGAAGGGGTAGGGAGTAGATGGGGGGAAGCCCCTCCAGATATCAGCTCACCTTTGGCCCATTCTGGACTCCCTTCCCTACCTCTTGGGAGCTGCCTGTGGGGGCCGGGACAGGAGAGAGGGCCGGGGGCAGGCGGCCGGACAGCACTCTACACCGGATGAAAGGCCTCTAACTATCCCTCATTGAGTGGTCTAAGGACTAGCTGCGTCTGGGAGCTGGTCAGAAATGCTAATTCCTGGGCTCAGCTGAGACTGGCTGAACCCAAGCTGGGCCTCGCTGTGATTTGCTGCACAGCGTCTTCCACGCCTGGGAAAGTGTCCTGCTCGCATGCTCAACAGATACCTGCAGACTGGACGGCCGAGCCAGAAACCTCAGGGTTGGGGGCTAGGAAGCTGAATTTCTAACAAGTTCTCTGAGTGATTCGGAGGCACTGGTCTGGAACAGAGAGGGGGCTTCGGAACTGGGAGGACAATAGCTCTTATCACGTGGTGCCGGCATCCCAAGGACCTGTCTTGATGCCCGCCCTACCCGGGGGTCTCTGGGCTCCCAGAGGCTGAAGCAGAGGTCTTATCCGCCTGTAGCCAGGGTCCTAGCACCCGTCCTGCGCGACAACTGCTGGGGAGTGAACAAATGGACAGAATCACAGGTTGTCGCAAGTAGAAAATCAGAAAGGCAAACAGATGGAGAAAGCAGACAGACAGGGAGAACTGGGGAGGAAAATGAAAACAGTCAAAAAATACTGAGGTTCAAAGACTGGGGAGAAAGAAATAATTTGTATCTGCACAGCCTGCACTCCTTTCGCACACGTGACCTCGGTCAGCCCGCCTGATTTCCCAGGGTGCCAGGTGTTATTAGCCCATTTTACAGATGAGATAACTGAGGTTAGGGAGTCAAACGACTTGCCCGAAGGTGATTCCGCTGGAAGGGCAGGGCTGAGACTGGTCAGAAATAGAAGGGCCCAGAATGACGAAGATGAACGCAGAGATAGTAAATGAGCGCAGGAGACCAAGGGAGCAGGAGAGTAAACCTCGCTCTTTCGCCGGAGCGAAGCCCCCTCCCTCGCTCTCCAGAACGCCCGCCCCAGCTCGGGCCAGAGGTGGGGGGGCACAGCCGCCAGGAAGGGAGAAGCGAGGGGGCGGGGCTCGGAGCGCCGGCCTGGGGGCCCCCGGGCACCCGGCTCCGAGATCCCACCGCCCGCCTCCGGAGCTAGGGTCCTCCGCCCGCCCCCCAACACGTGCGGGCGGGGGGAGCCCCGGGCGCGCCTCGCCCCTCCCCTCCCCCTCCCCCGCCGGCTCAAACAAAGGAGCCCCGGCGCGCGGCCGGGCGCAGGCGGCGCCGCGCACAGAGCGAGAGTGGGGCGCGCGCCCGGCGCGGGAGCGCGCAGGCCCGGGCCGCCGTAGCCGGGTTCGGCCCGACTACCTGGGGTTACTGGAGTTCCAGTAGACGGCGTGGCGGAGGCCGGAGCCCCCTCGCAGCGGGGAGCTGAGGAGCGCGGCCCAGAGGACAGTCCGCAGCAGGGGCAGCAGCCGCATCGCCCCCGGGGTCCGCTCTGGTCTGGTCCGGCCGGTCCCGGCCCGCTTCGCTGCCGCGGCGAGAAAGGTACAAAGTGGAGGTGGGGGGGTGGGGGGGGTGCGGAACTGGGGGTGGGGCGCCGAGACTCGCAGGCCACGCCCCCTGTAACTTTCCACCAATGGGGGCGCGCCCCCGCCTCCCCACTCAAAGCCGACTCCTGTTAACCCGCTGTGCGCCGAGGCGCACATCAGGCTCGCCACGCTACCCCCGGGGCTGCACGGCGTCGCGAGGGGGCGGCACGGGCGGCGCAGTCCACTATCTGGGAGTCCGTCTCGGGGGAGGTCGCGTCTTTCGCGTCTGCGCTAGTACCGGGCAGGTAGGAAGCCCTATTGCTTTAGACTGGAAGATTGAAACCGGGGCACACGGCCTTCGGCCAGAAAGAGGAAGAGGTGCGGCGCGGCGAGGGTCCGCGGAGCCCGTCCCGCGCCACCTTAGCTTATCGCCCCTTTTGCCCACCCAAGGATAGCGCGAGTGGAAGGGACAGATCGCCTCCTGGGATCCCCCCACCCCTTACTGAGCCTCAGTGGTGAGCTCGTGCCCACCTGCGGGCCGGCGCCTGCCCCTTTCCGCCCCGCACCTTCTCTCCGGGCTGGGGGCCCACGCGGCCCCATTCCCGAAGTCCAAGAGATGAGGTGGTTGCGGCCGGTACAAAGCGCCTTTGTTCCCAAGCCCTCAGGTGGGGCAGGGGAGGAGGAGGAGTAGGCAGGTGCACGGCCTTGGGATCGTGGGAGCCGCCGCCCCGCTCCGCCCCGGCTCCGGGGCTCCGAGAACAGCAGCCCGATCCACTTTCCCAGCCACCGGCCGGAGGGTGGGGACGGCGCGTCCGGCAGCTGGGCCGGCTGGGGGGGGGGCCGCCTCTGGGGGCCGCGCACACGGGGCGAGGACTTGGCGACCGGGGGGTGGCACGGGGTTTTACAGCGCCCTGGGGTACTGGGTTGCGCAGTCGTCCCGGACCGGGCAGAAACCGGCCGCGAGCATCCCGCGGACACACGCGCGGACGCGGCCTGGGACCCTCGTCCGAGGCGGCAGCGCCTCCTGGCGGCCACACCTGGAACCGCAGCGGGGCGACGCGGCCCGCCCGGAGCGGACAAAGTCCAAGCGCGCTCCCCAGACGTCGCGTTTATTGCACCCGAACAGGGACAGGCTGTGCGCACCTCCGTCGGTTCCGTCCAGCGCCCGCTCCCCCCACCCCAGCTCCAGCTGCGCGCGCGGGTCCCGAGCGTGCTGCCCCGCGGCGCGTGGGGGTGCCCGGGGTCTTCAGGTGCCTGCTCCGCCGTGTCCAGCCTCTGGCTCCTTCCGTCATCGCGGGGGACTCCAGCGGCCAGTTCGCCTCTCGAAGTCCTAAGTCCGGGTGGCGGGCAACCTCAGCAGAGGTCAGAGGTAGAGGGAGGACGCTGCTGGGGGCGGCGGCGCCGGCCTGGGGTGCGGGAAATCGAGAAAAAAGTTCAGAGGTCCCCTTTCCCCAGATCACCGGCGCTGCGCAGGCGTCCCCCGCACCCCTCCTCGCCTACCTGGACGGTAGCACTAGGGGCGGGACTCCAGCTCCTGAGCCGGGCAGGTCACCGGAAGGGCGCCGGCCCTGGGGGTTGGCAGGCAGTGGCTTCCTCGGGGGTGGGGGCTTGGCAGGCCCCTGAGAGTGAGAGAGAACACGCGATCTGGCTTGGGAGGGGGTGTCATGTTGCCTACCCCTGTTGCTGGGGAGCACCAGGCTGTGGGGCTGGCCCCAGAGGTCACCTTTGTTCCGAACCAACCTGTCACCTTTAACGGACACCAGGGTAGGGGCCCTCAGGTTCAGAGGGGGCATCTCACCATCTCACTATTAGCAGCACAGCCCTGAGTGGGGGAGAGGCTGCGCCCTTCTCGCCCCACACTGTTACCTTCGGGCGCCTCACCGCCGGGTCAGCGGGCAGAGGGCGGGTAGGGGGATTGGGCCGGTCAGCCAGCTCAGCCTGGACAGAGAGAGGGGCAGCGCTGTGGGAGCACAGCCGGGGGCACAGGAGCGTGCACTGGTTTTCTCCGGGGGGTTCAGTTCAACATGCAAAGTCAGCCAGGAGGCAGGCGAAGATGGGGACATGCGCAAAGGGCTCGGGAGCCTGCCCGCAGAAGCCCCAGCGCAGGAAGGCGGGGGTCACAGTGGCGTCCCTGGCCGGCTGCAGTCCTGCCACTGACCACCAGGTGGTGGTAGAAACCAAGGCAGGAGGCTCACTCTTTGCTGCCGCAGGGCGGGGCTCAGAGTGTCAGAAGGCTGAGGGGCGCCCCGGCCCCGACGGAAGAGCGCCACCGGCAGGGAACAGGGGTGAGAACTGCAGCGGGGCACCAAGCCTCCCACCTCCACTGGGCCAGGGCGGGGCCTGGCCTGGATTTACCTGGAGTCTCTCGGGCACAGGGTCAGGAGGCAGCGGCCTGGAAGGGGGTGCCGGGAAGCCAAGAGCACTAGGCTGCGGAGAGAGCGGGAGGAGCAGACAGGCGGGACGGGGTGGGGGGCGGGGGGAGCACAGAGACAGGTGCGGGCAGAGACAGGTGCCGGCAGAGAGCAGTTAGTGCCGGGAGGGGCGGCCGGCCGGGGCCAGGGCGGGGGCGGGGGTGTGCGTGCGAGCGGTTACTCAGTTGCATGCACAGAGAAGGGGTGACGAGTGGTGGAGGGAGCATGCGGGCCACCTGCAGGGGCTCACGGGGTACTCGCCAGCCCTGCCACACGTGCTGACCGAGGCCTCATCGGGTCGTGGCCCCTTGGAGGCCATTTCTGGGCACCACCCCGGTTGTCCTCCAGGGTCTCCTGCTGGGAGCACCAGGAACCCACCTCTCATGGCCACCAGCGTGGCCACAGCTCAAAAAGCTCAGTAGCCCCTTCTCTAGGTGACTGTCCCTCCCCACGGCAGGCTGAACGCTGCGGGGCCTGTGGCCGGGGGAGTGCAGGGGAGGGCCGGCTCCGCGGACTGACTCTCGGGCGAGGGGAGCCTTTCTCTGAGTCTAGGGCCTTCCATACCCCCACCCCAGGGCCCACGGTGGGTGCCTGGGGAGTGGGGCTGCTCTCCTCTGGCGTCCATACTTACCTTGGCCCCTGGCATAAGCAGGACCCTCTGCGGGGGCCCTGGGCATTCGGGGGGACCAGACTGGGCTGCCCTGAGCATGGAGAAAGGCAAGGAGGGAGAGGCCCAGACTCAGACCACGCTCTCCCTCCCCACGTGGCCCTTGAGTGGGGCTGACCCTTGGCAGGCCCGGACAGAGCAGCTTGAGGGTAGCTGAGGCCCAGTCAGAAGTTGGGGGGCAGCTCATGAGCCTGGGGGAGCGCCCCATCTACTCAACACAGGGCTGCTGGGCAGACGTGGACCCGGCCTCCCGCTGCTCTCCGCGGGTCTGGGTGCGAGGTGAGGTGGAACGGGGCCCACAGAGGGGAGCGAGGTGTGCATGCCAGGGGCCGGGGCCCGGCGCCAGGCGCTGCGGAGGGCCTGGGGTCAAGGAGGCCGGTACCTGTACTGGCAGCTGGGCCCTTTGAGCTGACACAGCCGCTGTCGCAGGCGGGCGCGGTGCCGGTAGCCGGCCCCCAGCAGCGTCAGGACCGCCAGCAGCAGGAGGCTGAGAGGCAGCCCCACGGTCAGGGAGCTGGGTGCTGCGGGGCGAGGGCCAGTGTGAGTCGGGCCAGGCGAAGAGCCCCCACCCAGGAAGGGGAGGGCGGGACGAAGGGAGGGCGCTCAGAGGACCGGAAGGGGTCAGAGAAGGGTAAGCCACGCTGCCCACCGCGTGGCCCCGGCCCGCTGCCCCCCACTACCTCTGATGCGGTTGGCACAGTCAGGGGGAGCCCAGTGCTCCTCACAGTGGCAATGTCCTCTGCTGTCACAGACCTGGGGGTAGAGGTTGAGCAATGAGGGACCCTACTTGTTGGGGCCGTGTTTCCCTGTCCTTAGCCTTTCAGGATCTCTTCTCTGTCCAAGGTTGGAAGGTAGGCCGGCTGACGGGGCGGAGACAGGGAGCCTGTGGCCTTGCCCGAGGACATGACCTCGTACCCAGCCGCCAGCGCCTTCACCGGGCACTGGGCTAGACCCTCTCACACTCATCTACCGGACCCCAGGACGCCCCACTGGGTGGCCGAGGGAACTGAGCTCAGAGGGGTTAATAACGGGCCTCAGGTTGCACAGCTGGGAGGAAGCAGGACGGATTAGGGGTGTGTGTGCCAAGCCTGGCACCATCTGTCCCCTTCCGTGCCCACCGTGCCCGCTCACCCCGTGTCCGTGGCATTTGCCTCGACATTCCTGGGCTCGCAGGACATCCACGGGTTGGCATCGGCCATCCATGCACACCTGCCCAGGGGTGCGGGGGGAAAGCCAAGGTCAGAGCCTCACAGAGCGCTGCCAGCCCTGGGAGGCCACACCTACTCTTACAGACCGAGACACCGCGGCTTGGGCAGGACAGGCCGCCGCCCGGTCAGCAGCACGCGTCTGACCCCCGAGTCCGTGCCGCGCACACCGGCGGGCCCCGGGGCCTGGGCACGGCTCGTGTAGATGGCCCTCCCTGCTGGTCGCGCCCACTGGGACCGCTCACCAGGCCAGGCCCGCAGGCGGTGCCGGGCAGACTCAGGAGGGGCTGGGCCACGTCGTTGCCCAGGTCCAGGTGGACCCAGCGGCAGTTCACTCTCGGCTGGGTCCCGCTGGCTTCCAGCACCTCCCAGCGCAGATCCCGAGCGGTGCCCAGCAGAGGCCGGGCCCGCCCCCCCTGGCACTGGAGCTGCCCGCAGACGGCGTCTCTGAGGTAGGGCAGAGGGTACCGGGTCAGGTCAAGGCTCCCCCGCCCCCAGAGGGGAACCCAGGGGCCTCACTTACTTTGGGGCGCAGGACACGTAGCTGCCATTAGCGCTGCGCCCACAGCTCCCGAAGGCGTCCCCCCGAGTATTGGCAGCAAGGAGGCAAGGCGGCGGGGCGGGCTGGGCCCCGGGTCCCCAGAGAGCCTGGCACTGCTGGGCATAGGAGGCACAACGGCCCTGCACGCACACAGCCTCGCCCCCCGCACACGGCTCGCCGTCTCCCAGGCTGGCATCGGGAGGGCACTGGGCACTGTCTCCCGCGCAGAACTCCGGTAAGTCACAGTCCCTTCTGGTAGGGCGGCACTGCCAGCCAGCCGGGCGCAGCTGCGGGGGCGAGGGAGCGCGTGTGGCTGCCGGTGGGTCCCACCAGGCCCCCGGGAGCCGGGACCCCCTTTCCACCCCGACCCCGGGCAGGTGGGCTGTGGGTGGAGGGCGGGTCCCGTCTGCGCCTACCTGGCAGTTGTGACAGCAGAGCCCGTCGGATGCGCACTGCGCCCCGGGCCTCAGCTGGCAGGTGAAGTGGTCACAGCAGGGGTCGCTGCAGTCCTGAGGGCGGCGGAACCACTGTCAGAGCAGACCGGGCGAGAGCCCACCCCTGCCCTCCGAGGACACACATGAGCTGCTGCTGGAGGCTGACAGTGCTGTCCCCGTGGAGAGGGGACAGGGGGGCAGCGAGCCAGGTGAGGGCTCAGGCTTTGGGGGAGGCGCTCACATCCGGGAAGCCACAGTCACACTGCTCGCCGGGCTCCACGAGCTTGTTCCCGCAGATGGTGGCCAGAGAGGGCAGGCTGGGCAGCCGTTCAAGGAGGCAGCTGCCCGTCCCTTCCAGAAGGGCCTTCTCCAGGGCCTGCCGGCTGCAGTTGCTGAAGTTCAGGCCTGGCAGGAAGCTGGGGACGGTGGCCAGAAAGGTTGGGGCTGCAGGGTGGCCTCAGGCCCTGGCCCTCCCCCGCCCCGCCCCACTCCTGCAGGGACTCACTCCGTGGAGGCCTCCATGATGCAGCTCTTGGCAGGGGCCGGCCCCGGGCAGGGGCAGCTGCTCCCCGGCAAGTCGTGGTCCAGGCCCAGGCTGTGGCCCAACTCGTGCGCTATAGAGGAGGCGACCCCCAGGACGCTGGTGGAGTGATCCTGGCATTGGGGAGGGGATACCCCAGGTCCAGAAGCAGCCTGAGTGCTCCTGTTCTCTCCTCATCTGACCTCCGGGCCCTCAGCACTGCCTCCCTCCTCACCTGCTGGCCATGGGAGGGGGGGCCATGGGAGGGGGGCCACCACAGCAGTGGCCACATCATCCAGCCCTGCCCCCACGCCCCCAGCTCTGGGGTTGGCCACTCTGTAGGGGCTTCAGTGACTCCGCGGCCCTCTAACTGGGTGGCCCTGACGTGGAAGTGGGGAGGAGACCTGAGAGAGCTCACCGTGTTCACCCCCCCAGAGAAGGCAGGAGAACAGATGGAGTTCTGAATGGCCATGCCCACTGTGGGCCCGGAGAACGAAGCAGCGCTGTGGGGTCGTGAGGTCAGAGGTCAGGCCCAAGGCCAGGGGCCGGAGCCTCAGGGCCTCAGACAGGGAGTGGGTGTGACACTGGCCAGGGCAGGGCCCGAGGGGGCTTACGTCACCAGCTGGGCACTGTCATGCGGCAGTCGAGGGAGCAGGTCTCTCCCGCGCCACCTGAGGAACCTGTGTAGTGTGAGCCCCGGGTCCCGGCTTATCTCCACCAGGTCGCGCTGGGTCCAGGCCTCCAGGCCCACGAGCACCACCCGCACGTTCAGGGGCCGGAAGAACTGAAAGACCTGGGGCTCAGGAGAGGGGCTCCGACGGCCAGAGGGCCGGCAGGGTGCAGCCCCGCCCAGCACTCACGGTGTCCAGGAGGAGGGTCACTTTCAGCATGCGGTCCAGCAGGTGCTGGGGGTCTGGGTACCTCTGGACCTGTGGGCCAGAGACGTGAGCAGGAAAAGCCGCAGCACAGGTGGTGGTGGTGGGGTGGGGAGGACGTGCCGGGGCCACGCGCTCACCTCCGAATGATCGGCCACGATCACCAGCTCGATGGTCTTGGTCTCTGTCACCACATCCCGCCTCCGCTGTGGGCAAGAACAGGGGGCAGCGGGCTCACCGTGGCTCTTGACCAGCAGCCCACAGGGCCCGCTCCCACCCTGGGTGGCCGAATGGAGGAGAGCAAAGAGCCCATTTCACAGATGCACCACGGGGCGCCTGCAAGGCCGGGGACGCGCCCAAGGTGGACCCACAAGTAGGTCACGCAGCTGGGAGCAGAGCCCTGCTTTTCTGGTTCCACATTCAGTGCCTTTTCCAAATTAAAAAGAAAATAATAGGGGCGCCTGGCTAGCTTAGTCAGTGGAACCTGTGACTCTTGGTCTCGGGGTCATGAGTCCGAGCCCCACAGTGGCTGTAGAGATTATTAAAAAATAAAAGAATAAATCACAGGCAACGCCGTCATGCATGTGTCAGGCCCCAGGCCCGGTTCCAAGCACTGTACGCAGAGGCAGATAATTCAGCTAATCGTCACCATAACCCTGAGAGGAAGGCGTTTTATTATCCCTGGGTGGTGGTGGGTTTTTTTTTTTTTTTAAGATTTTATTTATTTGAGACAGAGACAGAGAGCAAGAGAGCACAAGCAGGGGAAGGGACAGAGGGAGAGGGAGAAGCAGGCTCCCCGCCAGGGCTCGATCCCAGGACCCTCAGATCAGGACCTGAGCCGAAGGCGGACGCTTCCCTGACTGAACCCCCCGGGCGCCCCTGTTGTCCCCGTTTTATAAGTCAGGAGATTGGATTCATGTTGCTCAATGACTAGTAACTGTATTGTCTGTGGCCGAGTGAGAGTCCCTGCCTTGGGGATCTCAAGACTGGGGGAGTGAGTTTGGGGCAAGGACCGGCATGTGAGTGGCGGCTCTATCACTCATAGTCGGATGACCCTGGGCAAGTCACTGACCTTTCCAGGCTTGCTTTCTCCCTCCACAGAGCAGAGGATATAGCCCATACCTCCCAGCATTGCTGGGAAGAGGAAAGGATTATGTTCACACAGGGGTGTGGATGGTGGCTGCCTAGAAGGTCCTGGAAACACAGGGCTCTGAGGGTCTGGGGCCTGGTCCCCAGGGACAGCAAAAGCTCAGCAGATTATCCTCACCCGGTGAGTGTGGCTGTGGCTTTGTCCCCAGGGCCGCTCTGGGGGGACCTGCGTGGGCGCGGGCGCTCGCCGGCTCAGGGCACAAGTGCGGCCTGGCAGGAAGAGGTCTTGGATCCGGGAGATATTCGGGGGCACCCGAAGGTCCCCAGGCCCCAGGTCTAGGGTGTAGCTTCTCTCCGGGGACAGGATCACCAAACCCCTGGGAAGATCCAGCAAGTCAGAAGGCCTCCCAACTGCCAGCCTTGTGCCCTCACTGTCCCCACCCCCACAGGACGTGCCCTCAGTACCTGAGCCCGGAGCAGGTGCAGACAGAGACCCAGGAGCCCTTGTGGCCCCTCACGGCCCCCTGGTAGCAGCAGTTTCCCTACAGCAGAGAGACAGCGGTGCTGAAGGCCAGGAGGCTGGCCTGTTGGTGACGACAGGCTGTCCTCTAGGGATGGCACCCTCGGGTGGCCCCTGCTTTCCTCCTGCAGGCCACAAACATGGCACAGGACTCACCAGACTGTGGCCCACACCGACCACACGGGTGCCGTCAGGCTGGTACCACGTCAGGCTCGGGCGGCCTGGGACTAGCTCTCTAGGAAGAGAAAGCAGGGAGGTGACTGTTGCCTTCCTGTGGGCATGGTAACGGCCTGAGGCCTGGATGTGGTGGAGGGGAGCCGGGTTCCCCCAGAGGCAGCAGACTGTTGTGGTTGGGTCCCAAACTGCCCAGCTATTGGGTTCTAATCTGGTTTTGACCACATCTGAGCTGTGTGACCTTGGGCAAACTACTTAGCCTCTCTGGGCCTCGGTGACTGCATATATAACGCGAGGACAGTACTGAACGGTGCCTGCCCCGCGGGCTGTCGCGAGGGTGGGATGAGTTCAAGTGCACGCTGGTGCTCTATGGCCAGCAGGTACGCTACCCGCATCCGTAACGTCACGCCAGCGTGTTTACCTGTCCCATAGGAGCTCCAGAACGTGCTTCTCCCCATCCAGTTCCAGCGGGATCTGCAAGGCCTCAGGCAGCTGGGTCTGTGGGCCATACAGGGCCAGTCACCTCCCGGCCCTGCCCCAAACTCCTATCCTCTCTACCCAGAAGCCTTCAGGTCCTTCGGAGAGCACCAACTATTAGATCATGGGTGGGGGTGGGGGCGTCCCGAGGGAGGGGCCAGGAAGCCCTGCCCGGCTTGGGGCATTGTTCTGGGGGGTTGTGTGGGGAGGTCAAGGAAGGTATCTGAGCCGCCCCTTCTCGGCTTCCTGCCCAGAGAGGAAGCATCATGGAAGACCCGGCATGGGCCCCAGCCCTTCCTCTGACTCAGCTCTGGAATTGGGGAAGGGGGGTATTTGGTGAGGCCCTGACCTTCTCCGAGGCCCCCCCCCCGACTCCCCGGGGAGAAAATGGACAGAATGAGACCAAGAAGGCAAGCCTGGCCTCGGGACGTCCCCACGGAGACTGGGGTGGGGCAGAGGCTGGCAGATGTGGGGGCAGATGTGGAGGGCATGGGTGAAGCCAGGTGCTGGCGTGCGGCAGGAGGGGCGGCCCGGCCCGGGATGGCCCTGCTACCTGGGGCATCCTCTCACCTGTCCTCAGCCGCACTTTGCCCTGTGGGTGATGGGGGTGTACGTCTTCATTCGAGGGGAGAGGGAGGCTCACCTCTGCAAGGCTGAGTGTGGGGGTATCCGGAGGGATCTGGGGCTCCAAGGGTCCACCCAGGGCTCTCTCTGGCCTTGCCCGCTCCTTCTCAATGTCACCTGCAGGGCCCCCAGAACACCCCGAGGGGACGCTGAGAGAGGCCACCCCACTGCTGGGCACAGCTGGTGCCCGCTGGGCATCCAGGCCCTTCTCTGCTTGAAGGACGCCTGCAGTGCCTGCTGGGACTTAAAGAATTCTGAAGGGAAGGGTCTTCGCTTAGGCTCCCAACGTTCATCCCAGCACCCCACCTTGCACGGCCTGCCTGTGGCCCCTCCCTGGCCCCCCCAGACCAATCTCAGGTTCTCGGGGGCGCCCCCTTTCCTAGTCCCTCGCAATCCCCCCCAGGAATGCCCCCACTCAGGCCTGGGCAAAGCCTTGTGGCCCGGTGCCCACTTGCCCTCCCCTGTCCTCACAGCGGAGCTGTCGGGAACGCCCATTTCTGGGTTCGCAGTGCAAACACCCCTCCCCAAACACCCCCCCCACACGGTCAGGCACACCCGCTCACCACAGCCCAGCCTCCTCCCCAGCACCCCTGTCCCCACAATGGCCCTCTCTCTCCTCCGGCCAGCCCACCGCGCCTGCCCTCCCAGCCCCTGCCCTCCCAGCCCCTGGCCCGAGACAGCGGCGGGAAGTGAAAGTCCCGAGGAGGAGTTGGTGTCAGCCTCTTTCCCGGCCAAGTCTCCCCTCCCCTGGCTCCTCCCGCGCTCCCGCCCGCTCGCTCCGCCGGGTTTCTGGTGGCATCAGCATCCGAGTGAGGGGTGCGTTGGCTGCTCAGGCCCAGGGATGGGGGCCCAGGAAGAATCCTCTCCCCACTCGGCGCTCTGGCACCGGGTGCAATGGCCCGCTAGGCCCCAGAGGAGCGAAGACGTCAGTCCTGGGGAGCCGCGACCCTGTCCCACCATCCTGAGGGGACGCTGGGCCAGAGCCTTCGGTGCCCGGCACCGGAGCCTGGAAGTGTCCGCGGGGACTGAGCAGAGGATGACCGCGCAGCAGGGGGCCCGGCATCCCCCTCCTCCTCTCTCCACTCCCCCGCCCAGTCGCCCAGTCGCAGGGCGCTCAGGCCCGGACAGCGAAGAGGGCGAGCTGCGCTCCGCTCCGGGGTCTCCCCCACGTCTCCAGCGGACCCCAGAGCCTCCCGACCTCCCTGCACCTCCTCCCATTCCGTCGCCCCCGCCCACGGCGGGCCGGGCACTCACCGACATCGGGGAGCGGCCGGGAGGACAGAGGGCTGCCAGCGCCCAGGAGCCCCAGGGCCCAGAGCAGCGCCAGCCGCATGGCAGCGGCGCCCCGGGCCGGCCGAGGGCAGCAGGTGCTGGGCCGCGCGCCGAGGAGCCGCGGCCGCCGGGTCTGTCTGGCGCACCCCGCCGCGCCAAGCCGCCACCAGGCCCCGCCCCGCCCCGCCCCCGCCCCCGCCCCGGGGCTCCGGGCCAGGCCCCGCCCCCAGGGAGGCCGCGGCCCCGCCCCCGGAGGGCCCGGCCCCGCCCGCGGACAGCCCGAGTCGCTCGCCCCCGCCGCCTCCCGGCTGCGGCGCACGGAGGGAGCCGAGGCCGGGTCCGACCCGCTTGCGCCGCGCGTCTCCCGGGGCCGGACCGGTCCTCGCGGCCCCGCCGCCCTCCCGCGTCAGGTCGGCGGCCCGGGTCTCCGGACTGCGGGTCAGAGCTCTGGGAAGCGCGGGCGTCGGGGGCGTGCGGGCCTTTATTCATCGCGCAGGGGCGGGTGGACAGGACGCGCCTTCACTCGGCGTAGGTGGCGTCGTCGTTGCTGTCGCTGTAGGCGGAGGACGAGAGCTCCTCGCGCGGGGTGCAGGCCGGGCACCGGCGCCGCACGTCGTCCCAGCACGGCCGGCAGTACACGGCGGCGCAGTCCGGCGTCGGGCACACGTAGGCCGCGGGCGTCTCGGGCGCCTGGCACACGACGCAGCGGCGGCGCAGCCAGCGGCGCGCGAGCGGGCAGCGGCGGTGCAGGACGTCGGCCAGGCGGGGGCGCTGCCGGGAGGCGCGGAGAGAGGGCTGCGAGGGCGCCGCACGCCGGCCAGTGCCCGCCTGCCGGGCGGTGGTGCCGAGCGCGGCCCTCCCCCGCTCGGGAATGGAGACTCGGGGCGCAGCTCCCACTGCCCGCCAGCCGCCACCTGTCCTTTCCCATCAGCCGCCTTATCTGGCCGTCCCAGTGGGCCGGGAAGGGAGCAGGGCGCCCGCCACGATCCCTGCCGCGTTCTCCCCTTGAGGGGCGGGACAGCGGCCGGTGAGTTCCCAGGCGGGCAGAGAGCAAGCGGCCAACCTGCCTGGCTCTGGTCCCCGCATTCCAGAGCGCAGGTCTGGTTCACCGTGCTCCCACCCTCTCGCCCCGCAATCACCAGGAATTCCCCTCGGCAGGCCACCTTATCAGGGCGGCCTTCGCTCTGGAAACCGCAGAGGAGGCCCCCTGCAAAGGCAGAAGGCCTGGCCTTGGCCTGCAGAGCCGTCCACACTCTGGTCCCCTCCAGCCTCTGCTCGGACTTGCCCCAGCTCGAGCCTGGCCGCTCCTGCGCCAGCCTCTCAGACTAACCCTGGCCTTTGACATTCGCTCTGGGCTCTGAGTCTTCGCACATTCTATTCCCTTAGCTTGGGACGGATGCCCTTCTCATTGCCACCCCCTGCGGAAAGCCGGCTGACTCCACGACCTGTCATGGCATCACGGCTACCTGTTCATAGGCCTTTAGCCTCTATGTGCTCTGGGCTGGGGGATCTAGGCCCTGGAGGGAAAGTCAGGCAAAGCTGGTCTCTCAATTTTACGGGCTCTGCCGGGCTAAGAATGGCTGCCGTTCTTTTCTTTCTTTTTCTTTTTTATTTCTTCTTCCTTTTTTTTTTTTTTTAATTAATGTTGGGTCCTGCACCAAGAAAGGGTAAATAAATGAGCTCACTCAAACAGTAACCCCGTGGGACAGACATTGTTATCATCCTTTCTTTTTCAAATGAGAAAACGTGCTCGCAGAGGCTGTTACTTGCCCAGGGTCACACGATGACAACTGGCCTGTGCATGGAACTTGCTAGATGCCTGCTCCATGGGCCCGAGACTCCCTCAGCCCTTACTACAACCAGACAGAGTAGCAGCTCACTCTGGGCTACAGAAGGGAAAAACCAAGGCCCAGCATTTAGCAAGTACTCCAGATCCCAGTTGTCATGGCGATAAAGAAGGGAGCCAGGATTGAAACCCAGTCCCTCTGGCGCCAGCGGCCCGCAGCCCCTGCCACACTGTTGCTGATCACTGCACAGGTCTCACACATCTGTCCGAGCTCCCTGACCTTCAGAGGGGAACACTGAGGTCTGGTGGGGACCATGGCCAAGGTCACCCAGCATAATGAGGAAGTGTGGACTGGAACCCAGTTCTTCTGGCTCTGTGCCGTCTCCTTATCCCACGTGGCCCTTCTTGACACCTTCTGGAACACACCCCCAGCCCACCATTTTCCCCACCTCCCCCAGAGACACTCAGTAGAACCTGTGGCTTGCCTTCAGTCCCTTGCTTCTGATGGAGCCCCCTTGCTTTCTTTTAGCCAGACCTCAAATCGGCTTCCCCTTTTCTGCCTGCTTCCTCACGGCCCACTGAGTGTCTCGGGCTGGGCCAAATCCTGGGGGACAGAGGTGGACTCAGCCCTGACCCTCGGGAGCTGGACGACCAGGGCCCTTGGCACCTCTCCCGTCAGAACTCACTGGGCTCCGTCGGCCTAGGGCCCTGCGGCTGGATGGACTGAGGGGAGAGGCCCCTGCCGCGGGGTCCTCACCACCCCAGGAGCCACGGGAAGGAGGCCTGCACTTACCGGAGCCTTCTGCTCTCGCGCCCGCCTCAGGATGGCAGCCCTCCTCAGCTGCGTAAATGCTGCCCTCTTCCTCAAGAGCTCGTTGTAGAGGAACAGGACCCGCTTCTTCTCCCGCTGGGGCCGGGGAGAGGGGGTCAGGGACAGGACAGTGCACCCTGCAGACTGGAGTGGGGGTGGGGGGGCTGGATGCAGGCCTGAGGGTGTCGGGAAGAGGGTACCTTGGGGAAGTAGAAGGCGGCGATGACCCTCCGGAGCCTGTAGGCGAAGGCTTGGAGCAGGCAGAGACAGAGCAGCAGGCCGATGGGGAGCGCCGCTCTCACATAAGCCCAGGCGTCCAGGCTCAGGGGCTGGGGCAGGCAGGCTGGGGCAGGGCGGGCCTGTGAGGGCTCCGCGGGCCTGCGTCCTCTTCCCTGCAGAGCTGCCCCCTCCAGCCCATAGCTACCAGGCTCCTGAGGCTAGTAGCCCAACATGGCACAGATGCGGGAGAAAATTCTGTTGGACAGTGTGGTTCCGGGGCGCTGGCACCCTCTGTCGCCAAGGCCCCAGGTCCTCCAGCCATCGGACCCCAAGCTGTCACCTTCTAGCAACTCGGGGTCCACCTGATGTTTCCTGCTCTGAGGCCCCCTCTTGGCACGCCTCGGAAAGAGCCTGATGCCCGCCCACAGCTCCTCTAACCCGGACTCTGGACGTCGCTCACGCATGTTGTTTGACTCCATCACTGTCTCCGAGGACGTGTTCAGGGCCCCGATGGTCTTCCGAAGCAGCCGGGCCAGCATGGAGCGCCCCCCGACTTTCACCTCCAGTTTGTGGCTGCCTAAGGCCGTGGGGGGCGTCAGGAAAGAGCTGCAGTTTAGGAGGCCGGGGCAGGACGAGGACGGGGTGTGGGGGGTTTCCCTCCGCTCGCTGAGCGCTAACCCCTCCCTGTTGCACATAGAAAGGAGGCTTGGAAACTGAGGCCGGCAGGCCTGAGACCGGGACCCCGCACGGGGCTGGAAGAGATGGCGGCCTGGGGGGCGGGGGCATGGGTGAGGGCTCACTGCGGAAGGAGTACTGCAGGAAGGAGTGGTGGCGGATGGTGTCGAACACGGAGTAGAGGGCCCAGTCCAGGCCGCACAGCAGCAGCAGCAGCAGCAGAACAGGCACCGTCTCCACGAGCTCCCTCGCCTGCCCGAGGAGCCGCGGGTCTGAGCTGGGCAGCGCTGCCCGCCCTGCCCGGGCCCTCTCCTGGGCCTGTGCCCTCAGCTGCGGCTGGAGCCCCCGGGCCCACCCCCGTGGCCTCCTCACCAGGTTTCTCATTTCCGAGGCCTGCACGGAGGGATTGCAGGGGAAGATGACAGTTTTCTCCTCGGCTTTGCGGAGTGGTAGCAGCGTCCGTTTGCCCTGGTAAAATGTCCAGCTGGTGGGGGACACTGGGGCCCCCTCCCCTCGGCCCTCTGCCCTCCTGGAGCATGAAGCCACAGAGGACACGCCGCAGGGCACCCTTGGCCGGGGCTGGGCCCCCCTCACCAGCTGCTGCCTGCGCTCGTCGATCTGGCAGAAGTAGGTGCTAATGTAGATGTTGTCAAAGCGAATGTCGCGGTTGTAACTGTCCATGTAGGAGAAGGACCTGTGTACGAGGACGTCTCTGTGTCCTCCCGCCTGTCCTCGCCCACCCCCCACCGCGGGCTTCCTGGATGCTGGGACGTTCCCCAGACCACCCAGCCCGCACTGAGTGCTGCGTCTGTCCCAGGGAGACAGCGGGCCGTCTGGGGCAGGGCGGGCGCCCACACAGGTGAGGAGACACGGGTGAAAAGGCCGGGGAGGGGGTCGCATGCCTGGCCGAGAAGGGAGGGGTCTCAGGCATGGATCTCGAGCAGAGGAAACAGCAGGAGCAAAGGCACAGAGAGGTGGGAAGGCCCTCAAGGCTGCAGAGCCACCAGCCGTCACGCCTCACTCCCACATCCGCCTCTCGCCCGAGACGGCAGAACATCTCCTGGGGGTCACTTCAAGCAAAACGCATGCCCCCACCTGCATTTCCCCTCTCCCCAACACACCCTTAGGGTGTTTTATGTTTTGTACACAAGTGCCCCTCTGTGCACACACAAGTCCAAGTCCCATGTAGCGCTTTGGTTTGCTAAGGAAACATGCTAATTCTCGGAGATGTGTTTAAAACCGCGTTACCCTCAATAAGCCCCGTCAACTGTGCAAGCTAAGTTTCAGGGGTTCTGAGACCCTGTAAAAACCCGCGGGGAGGGCTCGGCCGGAGGGAGCGGTCCCCGGCAGGCCAGCCCATGAGCGCCCCCGTGTGGGGAGACCGGCTGCGCCCTGCCTGGCCCTGCCCTCTGGCCAGCT